TTTTCAGAGGAGAGAAAAGGAGCTAAAAGGGAACAAGTAATTGCGCGATGAAACGAGTCGAGGAAAATTGTGGTTCCTATCGGACGACTCGAGGATACTCCTCCCTTTTTGCTCTTTGCTATGGTTTAGTAGACCGTCGTAAATTAACTGTATTTAATATTAGATCTCAACATGAAAATGTATGCAAGGCCTAACTACTACTATGTAGACTGTAAGCCTCGTTGTCTGATCAGAAAAACGAACGAAATGAGCGAATATATATTATAAACGAATCATTCCTCGATGCTGTATATCGAAGTACTACGATAATGTAATGCGTTATACTACTCGTCTGAATCCTCGTAAAAATCCCATCGTTATGTATCATATTATCATGTACTCGTGTACGAGAAAACGCGTCGAAAAAAAGTGTTCTGTAAATCGGCGTGTATAAACAAGCGCACTCACGTATTGTAGGAAATTGCACGCCCTCGACGTCGCGGATGCCTTTTTCGAAGAAAGCCTCATTCGATGTTGAACTTGAAAGTTTTAACACTTGTTAATTAGCTAATTCATCGTGTTTTGCAATGAAAGCAAAAGGAAAGACTCATTGCATCATGATGAACATAAGAATCGCCGTTAGAATTAATAACATTGCGTAATACATACGACGATCGAACGGTGGGCGAGCTCGAATAAATTTCTCTCGTTTCGGTCGTTGCGAAGAACAACCGAAAAACGTTAGTCAAAACTTTCGAATCTAGATGCGTATAAATTCATGTGTTTGCCGAAGCGAGTGAAGCTATAAACTCACCTGTGTACACAAAATATTTACGCATGCGCGCGTGTGTGATGTGTGTGCGTGTGCGTGTATATGTGTGCGACGTGGACGCATACACGCATACATACACAATATATATTTTTATGAACGTGATGAGGTAACAACGCATAGCTTGTAATATCGATTCTAACAACCGACGGTTTACCTTGCCCCTCGCGTTCGAATTAAACGGTTGAGCGGCTATAATTTTTCGATAAGTTTTCTCTCTTGTTTTTTCTTTCCATCTTTTATTTTTTTCTCTCTCCCGTCTCCTTTTCTTTTTCTATTCCTCATTCACCTCTTTTAAGTTAAGGCGTAATCATCATTACATATGAAAATTGAGGTCATTTTGTTTATGGCCTACGGAAACATATATCCGTAGTGCATTTGCTTGAACAGTTTTATTATTTCATTATACATGTACGAAATGAAGTTCTTTCCCAATTTAAATGTACTTTTAATCAATCAATTTTGAGTTATAAACTGTTTCTCTTTCATTTGTGTACACTTTTATGCATACCTTTACTTCCCTTAATACTACCGACATACAAGATGTAATTCAATAGTACATATCATATTTTCATCACAATATGCACATAATAAATATCAAAACTGCATTGCCATCTTAATTTGAAGCAGGAAAATAATTGAATAAGTTTAAATGAAATCAATGTACTCACCTTATAGAAGACATCTGGAACATACTGTTTATCTGTTGATTCAATTACATAGCCCAATTCTAGAGCATCTTTTGTAGGAACCAGGCAGCCATCCCGTACCAATGCCATGCATTGATTGGATACTTGATAACCTTCCATGTGAATTTGATTTTTATCATCACCTGTAATCACCAAAATGTATTATTTAGTAAGTACAATCTCTTTTTCGTATATATGTATATAAAGTACATTACATCGAACTGGTCTTACGTTAATATAACGTAAATAACTTACCAGTAACACAAACAGTAACAAATTTTGAACCAAAATAATTACTGGGTGAAAAACGACAGGGATTTGGATGTTGGTTTTGGAAATACCCAGCCATAATGCACTCTTGAGCAGATAAAAAGTGACTTTCTATATTTCGAAAGTGTTTTACCTGTATAAATTTAATAACATTAATTAAAACTTTAAAGCCTTTGACTTACAAGAAAGGGAAATATAAATTAGTTACTAATAAATTTACCGTTCCTTTCTTCACATCGTCCGCTATAAGGTCAGTAAAAATCCATCCAACTCTTTTTAAATTAAGTAAATGAGCCAATTCATCAACTATTGCTTCTTTTTCATCTGGTAAAAGTCCAATAGAATTTTTTGTACTTTCCTAAAGTAATTGCATTATAGATTATAAGAATACTTGCATATATTATCATTTAAATATTTTTTTATTTTACTACCTGTGGGGGTTCGTAAATTGCTGCAACAACAGCTCTAATTCCTAATGGTACATCTGAATGTATTTCATATCTTCCATATAAAAAGCCAATACGTTGATGACCGGTGCTACGCCAATAATTGAGAAAGCGTTCAACTAAACTTGGATTTTCAAACATGACAATGTCCACGTGTCGATAAGTTTGGCGATTTAAAGTAATGGAACTTGGTTGACATTTGCTACAGATACCTCGTGGCCAAGGTGGGTGATCTTTACAACCAGTCTTTATGCGACAACTTATGTCTTCTAATTGTACAAACTTTCCCCTATAAGAGATGACAAAATTATACTCAAAAGATTTAACCCTTGTACGACGAATGCAGGGTCATTTTGACTCGACAATGATAAAGTCAGGCGCGCTCAGATACGTTTGGTACAGAAAATACACCTATTTTATGTATCAAATGTAAATAAACAAGAAAAATATAAAATATATTTAGTTGAAAGCATACACATTTATACACAATTCCTTCTTGAAACCCGTGTACAATAGAAATTTTGCTATGGGTCAAAATGACCCTGCATTCGTCTCCCGCGTTCGTCTAAAACCATTCGCTTTCCGAGGGTTAATATAATAAAAAGCTAAACATACCTATCAACACCAGCAGTAAGTTTCCTTAGATATGAATGAAAGGACAAGTGTTTTATATTTTGTTCCTTAAGATAAGCTTCATCAAAAGGTTCTATAGGAGTACAGTGAACACAGCATCCATTTACACCATGTCTACATCTATTAAATAAATTTTAATATTTAACATCTAATTTTATATAAAGAATTTATTTTTACTTATGTCTACTTACAACTTTTCATCACGTTTTCTCTCTATTTTACCATCAAATTTCCATAATTGTTCATCAATATCGTCAACTACATTTGATAAAGATCGGGAAACGTTGGTACTGTGATTTGTAGTTTTCGTAATATCCATTGGTCCTGGTTCTAGTATTAAATAAAATTAATGTGAACTTAGTTTAAAATAACAAGAAATATTATATAAAAAATGTAGTTAAAACCTTGAGAAACATCAATAGTAGCACTACTAGTTGAAGGAGTACTCCACAACTGTGTATTATTACGAGGGGCCAGGTATAACATGTCCCCATGAGAAAGACCTGCTCCTGAAACTGTCCTGTTGTAAGTAAGTGGAAGTTCATTTTTATGATTTCGTTCCAGATATAGTCCAAATTCAGGACTGTTCAATTCAAAAGCTTTTAAAACCTGAAATTGTGCAAAATTAATAAATGATTTTACAAATAACTACAAAGTACTGTTTCATAACAGACAAAATATAGACCTTTTTAAACAACTGAGAAATTGTGTCATGAAGATTTACATCTATACGTTTTGTTCCCTCTGAACACTGCACACGTAGGGTCTGTGAACAAAGAAATAAAATAAAGTCAGAAATTCATAAATATATATAATAATAATAATAGTTATTTA